TTAAATATCTAGGAAGTATTATCAACGGAGGATGGCAGAATTGACAGAGAAATAGAGACCAGATGTCAGAAAGCAAGTGCACTTATATACCAATTGTCAAAATTTGTAAGACATCCAAGCATAACCATGAGTGCAAAGAGACAGATTATAAACAGCAAATTCGTTCCAGCTTTTAGCTACCAGTGCCAAACATGGACACCGTCGAAAGCCCATATACGCAAAATCACAAATTGTGAGATGAGATGCCTGAGAAAAGCAGCCAACCTAATCATCCGAGATTGGGTGAATAATGATACCATCAGACAGATTGTGGGAACGACACCTTGTACTAGATTCATTGAGAAACAGCAGATCAGCTGGTTTGGCCTTCACGTTAGAATGCAGCAAGATCAAATACTATCACAAGCAGTACATCTCAGAAGTTCAGCTACAAGAGCAAAAGGGCGGCTACGGGAAACATGAATCGACAACATTAGAGACACTCTACGCCTTCACGACACGACAATAGCCAATGGCAGCCAGCGTGCACTGGATTGCAAATAATTTCTCACCTCGGCGCTTAACGACAGAAGTGGTATATGTTGATGATGATGATTCTCAAAACTTTCGGCAGCCCTGCTTGTGTTCTTCTCCTAAGAACAGGGGAAGTTACTGTGTCGAAAACAAGTGATCCAAAATGGCGAATTATGTTGACTGATGCTATTTCAAATTGTTGCTAAGCATCGCTATTATTTCCATTATTTCATTTTTTAGGTAAACCTTGCTTTTTGTGTGAGAGGATATATTCTTTTACTAAATCGACAGTATTTTAATTACTAATTAATTTACTGTAAACTTCACGTGTAATAAATATTTAAATAAATACACACATTACCAGTTTCCGATAGTCGATGTGAGAATCAGAATGTAAACAAACTTAGAAATAGAAGTGTGATCGTAGAACAGAAAATGCTCATAAAACACACAATGGCATGTTATGATGTTGGTCACTGAATAGTTGATTAAATGCTAACCTTTTCAGATACAGATTTGGACATTTTTACTCCTATATGACTATAAACATAAATGTTCCATTTCCAGATGAAAAGGTGTTACGCTGTAACTGTAACTTAATGTTAATGTGGTATACAGCATGAATACTTCTCTGTAACTTACATGAAAGTATTCATCCTGTGTGCCATAACATTAATTTTTCAGATAGCATTTCATTTTCATAGGATAAGAATAGTATCCTCCCCTGTGCTTTCTTCTGCCCAATCAAAATATGTTTTGCACAATGTGGAATGTCAGGTTTGATATTAATATTAATATTATAATTATACTGTATACGCCACCAAAAGTTGGAAACAAAAGAAAGGTAGTACTAACTGACAACTGCTATTTTGGTGAATTTTGTTGTCTGTATCATCTTTGCACATCAGTCTTAACCCATTTGTGCTCCTTCCTCTAAAAAAAGCAGCCATCTCAGTGTGTGCATGCTCAGCATGCCCATTAGGAGTTCATCGACATACTTTTCTTTCTCCACAACCTGTTTCTGCATTCATGTCCTCATTTCATACCTATTTCCAGCTGACAGTTGATCGTCTCTGATTCAGTTGTCTTATCTCTAGAATGCAGCCATTCAGTTTGTCACTGATTACTGTTATACGGTAGCTCAGTCATATCTGACTTCTATAAATTTAAAAACCATTATTAGTAACAGAAACAGTTTTACCGTAATCACATAAAGAACTTTATTCTAAGTACAAATTTATTTTAAAAATTATACTTTAATAAGCTTATCAGATGATGTGTTTTGACAATACTACAGCATTAAGAGTCTGGAGGGAAGCTTCCAAATATGGCATTGCAGAGCAGTATGTCAATAGCACCACCAGTACCATCTTCAGGAGGAACAATTCCACTAGCTTTGCTGATTGAATATGGCCTTCAGAGAACATACCATGAACTGGCCATATTATCAGAGCTGTAAGTTGTTAATAAATGTGCATTAAACTCTTCACTGTCTTAAATTATCCTCTTTGTTCTGATATTCTTCTTCATCGTTCATCTGAGTGACATAATTGCTTTGTAGCTGCTTACATCATAGCTGTGATATTTACACCTTTCAGCAGACATATCCAACTTCATTCTTTATTTCCTTTTCTACTGGTCTTCCACTTTTCCATTTACCGTCCACTGGAGAGCTATCCTTTCCAAAGTGTTATGAAACAGTCTGCAAGCACATACAGGCCGCCATATTCATCTCCTTCCCTTGACAACATTTGCCAATGATACAGATATGTTTTTTTATAGTCTCTATTTTATGTGTAATTCTTGTTGTCATTTTATAACATTCACTGTTATATAAAAGCATTCCTAAAAGTTTTGATCTCGTATAATGTGAGTTTTGCCTTTAAATTAAGTCTCTTTGACTGTTGTAACATTAGACTAGGTAAACTGACAACATCCAACTTATATTCATGTTATAATAACTTAACACTGCAAGCTCAGAGTATTTTATAGGATGCATATTGTTTTTATTATAAAAATTTGTGCAAAATAGGAGTCACTGTGGCGCAGCGGCTAGACGCTTGTGTGCGGATCAGAAGGTTGTGGGTTCGCTTCTTGGCGGAGCTGGACTTTATTTTTCAAATATGACTTTGGCTCCCAGGTCAACCCAGCCTTGAGTGGGTACCGGCTGCAGTCCTGGAAAGTAAAGGCCGCCAGCGTAATACTCACCACACCACCCATCTTTGTCTATAAAATATATGATTATTCTAGGGTGCACTGGAGACACCTCTTGTGTAGCAATGAGGTACCTTCCTGACTTCCCTACCATGAACTACAGGATCAAGATCTAGAGGGCTCCTGCATACCTAAAAATAAGCTCAGATCTAAATCACCCTTTGCACCACATGCTCTTCAAGAAAAAGGGCAATAGGCTTAAAAGGGGCAAATTATGGCTGGGTAGGGCAGAGGATGACATCATGCAGATTTGCAGCCTTACAGACATCCATCCAGGTGAGGAGTGGATACCAGAGTCTAAAGCGCCCAATCTCACATTCTCCTGTGTCGGACGCTCGATAGGAGTTGTCGGGAGCAGAATCCAGCTGCTGTCAGTGCCGAGGTATGCGCACTTATCAGTGACAAGTCAAATGAGACAGATGTGATCTTCACAGACAGGTCCGTTATACGAGGACATAAGAATGCATGGGCATTTACAGCTCGTTCTTCTGGCAGAACAATTAAGGAAGCCAGCGGTGCCTTCTCCATGACCACTAGCAGCATAACGATGGCGGTGACACAGGCTTTCATGTGGCTGGGATCACAAGACTATTTCCGAGTGTGTGCGCTGAGTGATTCTTTGAGTATGATCCGGCGAGTCGAGGCAGGCTGGGTTACGCAAACAGTGGCTTGAGTCATTGCAAAATTCTCCTCTGTGTGCAGTTACTTTCATATTCGTCCCAGAGCATGCAGGCGTTGTTGGTAATGAGAGAGCTGATAGACTGGTAGGTACTGCATTAATTGAAGATGGCTGTCCCATGGATCACACAGATATTGTCATTGCCCTTAGAGAGATAGGACGTTCTGAGGATTTTGGAAGCAACATGTCTACATCACTTCTAAGAATACGCGAATTAGGAGTAAAGATCGCACAGCCAAACATGAGAAGCACACCAGACACACTAGTCTTGTTAACCAACTATTAACCACGCAAAACTGATGAATATGTTGAGAGGGGAGTCTGATCACCTATAGATGTGCCTGGAGTGCTGTGAAGATAATCTAACTCATAACTCAATATAGGTCTAGCCCTATATGTCTAAAAATGTGGGAAAGAGACCTTTACTTTTTTTAAAAACATTTTAGTAGGAAAAGTTGACTACTGCTATTTTACAGCACATTTTTATTTTTGCATTTTCAGGTTACCCAGGAAGACAGATATGGACAGGTATTGTATTATATGCTGAGTAAATTTTATGTATTGACTATAGAAAATTGATACCATCTCCACATTAGAGGTTGGCTGCAGTCAGGATGTAAATTCACTGTTTTTTGGGGGGAATATTATGTTTTTAACCAGGTCTTTTTCTAGTCAAAAAGGTGCTAGTACTGCCCCTAAGGTATCGATATAAAAAAAGAAATGTGCCAGTACAACAAAGTTGCCTACCACAAGAAGCCCTTATTAGGCTCCAGTGTCTTCAACAATGTGGCCATCAATTCATGGCACTAGGGTAGTAACCCATAAGTGCTCCATTCTACTTCTAACTCAAGCCTCAGTCTGAAGAATCTCAGCGCAGTACACGAACTCTGTAGCATCGGCAAGGATCCTGAAATACTTTGGGTAGATTTTTAACTCCAAGTTGTTGCCTGGGCAGTGCCTTAGGTTACACTTTTCAATATCAAATTGCCAATAGATTTTTTTGCGTACTTAACAATACACACGGGCCTCCGATCTTACTACCCAAATACCGAGGATGGGGGTGGGTGGGGTTACTAGAAGTTCATATGAAAAAAAACCCAGCTTTCACAGGGGCTGGGACTTCCAGCACCCGAGGCGGACGTCATGCCTAGAGACCAATCATGGAATCATGTAACTGTCTGAAAGCCATGAGAACAATATTTTTTTAAACTACCTACTGTGGAAATTGAACTTTCTTACTTCAGAATTTGTTAAAATTGCTCACTATCGGCAATGCATGATTTGTTGTTTTACAGCAAGCAGCATGTTTCTTAACATTTAGAATCAGTTGTATCATTCATTTTCTCTCATATCAATACCAGTGCGAAAGCAGAGGGGGAAAAACCTTATTTTCCTTCTTTCAGTAACCTTAGCAAATCACTGGGGAAAGATTGATTCTGGTCTTAGGTGAACAGATTGTTGCATCCACATCCATATCACAATTCTGACTCATTATCATGCAGACTGTTGGTTCCTTACCCCTCAGGCAGATGCACCCTGTCTTTAAAAGAAGCGCCCAGCTAGTCGACTCTTACGACATGCTTTTGGGCAGCTAATAGGTCTGTTCTTGTTTTCCTCACAATGGGACCCCAGAACCCACATGGAGACAGAGAGATGCATTGTTTGTTTTAGTATCCATAAGCCATGAGTTGTTAATCCTTAGGCTCGGTATTATGGATATCGCAACCTTTCGCTTTTGGGCATTGTAAATACCGTCAATCTGGGAGAAAAATCTTGCTTTCCTCTACCCGGGATTGACCCGGACCACCGTCAGAAATCCGGTTTAGCCAATTCCGCTAGAGAGCCGGGACAGAGAGATGCATATGTTACCTACCCTGTGTAAACTTTATGTGCAGAAACATACATAAGGTGTTTTCAGGCTGACTAATATCCAGTCACACATAGGGTCTTGTATGGTACTTAAAGATTTGAGAATGCTTTTGCTCTGCTGACATTGATACACTTTAGGTAGTGTTTTGTTGTTTATTGACACTAATTCAATTTTATATTGTGGTTTGTAATGGCTGATTTGAATTTTACAGGAAGATTGAAATTTTCCAGTTTGCGAGCCGCACACGCCAGCTGTTTGTGAGACTGTTGGCTTTAGTCAAATGGGCCAACAGTGCTTCTAAAGTTGATAAATGTGTGGTAAGAAATTTGAATGTGTCTGCATACAAATAAGCCAGATCTGTAAGGAGGCACATGCGAGACTTGTTGCTTTTAAAACTTGTCTGTATATTTTACCAGATTTATTAGTGTATCGTGGATCAAAAAGAGGAAACATATTGACATTAAATAAAAGTGGCTTGTTTTAAACATTGGATGGTCCCAACAAATAAAATTCTTCTGATAAATGAAATGTTTAAGTGGCTTGAAATAACATTAGTGGGGTGAATTGTTACTAGAAGAAGAGGCAGGAATCACCCAGAATAACGATGTGCACAGAGTATAGATGATCTTCCATGCCAAATCGTTTTCTCTATTTCTGCTTCTCTTCCCTTCTAACTTTCATATTGTCGTAGTGTATTCCAGGTTACCACCTTTTTTTTTAAATTTGTAACACTGAAAAGAAAAAATTGTATTGTTGGCTTCTATGGGAGCAAACAGTTGGTTAATTTTTTTTTAATCCAGACATTTCATTGTTGCACTTTTTATCTGTCCTTGTTGTTTTCTTTTATCCACTGAAACAATTATTTTTTGGTGCTGGCAAGCAGATTTTTAGTATTCTTCTTCCTCTGTCATTGAACCCCCCCCCCCCCCCCAGTGAATGATTGACCGTGAAATAACTCATGCCAGATCATTCTATCTTTTGCCATTGGTGCAGCACACCCCATATCCTACCCTGCCCATAATTAGTCTCTGATTATATTTTCTCTTGTGTTTGGGGGGGGGGGGGGGGGGGGGGGGGGGGGGGGGGGGGGATATTTCTTTGACCATGTGCAATCCTGTGTAATGACATTCTGTTTATATTAGCTGGTTTTTCTCTATGTAGTGCTGTCTTTTCCTAACCTTGTTATTAAATTGACTGGATTTGTTAAATACAATTTTTATGCATTATTATATATATATATGTGTGTGTGTGTGTGTTATGAAGATGAACAATTTCCTCAAGTTCCAGCAAGGTTATCATTTGTACACAAAAGGGAAATAATAACACTAAACAATAGTTATAATAATGGCAATGTAAACATACATATATTCTTTTTGAAAAATTTAATATTTGTGTGCAAGAACTACAGGGACAATTAAGTCAGTAAGTTATGATGTTGACTCTTACAATACCTTGTCACTCCATATACATTCAGTAGTTTTTCCACAGAAAGTACACTGTGGCTGATAATTGGTACATAAACTCTAACCCAAATGGTTAATTTAGCTCCTTCTGTCGAATAGTAAAATGTTAAAATCTTCTTTGGTCCTAAACATTGGCTGCTTTAAATATCTCTAGATAGAGTTACATTAATTACTGGCATGATGAAAGAGTTGACATAGTTCACTGTACATTTTCAGGACATTTGCAACTTTCTAGAGCAGCAGTCCATGTTTTTTGTGGAGACTGCCGACAGCTTACATAAAATGGCCAAAGAGACTCTGGCTTCAGCCAGGTAAGTCAGTACTTTATAAATATGTCTTATAAACTGTGTGTTTGTTGTTATGACTACATGTGCACCATTGCTTGTGTCACAAGAATATTTTATTTCCTTTCAGGCTGAGAGATACCCAAGCAGAACACATATCACATGGTGTGTGAGGTCAACATCTTGACTCATCTAACACCCATCTTCCTAATTTGGTGTTACAGATACCATTCTTACTTAGAAGGATCGGCTATCCAAATAACGGTCCCAAATTATTGAGGCTAAAAAAATACCCTAACAGGGCCTCAATGCTTGTGACTGCAGCCAGGAAACTGCACTAAATATTCAGTAAACAACGCGCGACTAGTGCCGCCGTGGTAACGCTGCGTCCGCGAAAGTTCCATCTAAAACCGTGCCAATCTATAGTGTGGCGGTTCCACTGTTGTGACAGATTCTGGTGGTGGTGTCGTAATTGCAATACTCCTGGCCTTAAGCCTAGGGCCCAGGGGAGAAGTTAAACCTTGGCCCCAGGGGAAAAGTTAAACCTTGGCCCTAGGGGAGAAGTTAAACCTAGCACTCAGTGTCGGAGCTGTTGACACCCTTGATGATTTGGGACCATTATTCGGAGGAGTGTTTCCCGCTGTATGCGTTACATTCGCCGGAAGGAAGTCCGCAATTTACATATGGTTGGGGCCCTGTTAGGGTCTTTTGTTAGCCCCGATAATTTGGGACCGTTATTCTGAGGATAGCAGAGGGATCTATCAGTATAACAGCACTACCTGAAAAAAGATGGTCATTCTCTGGGTGGACCTGAGAGTCTTGGTCTTTAACAAATAATCAAGTTCAGCCTGTAATGAGCTCTTGTAGTTTATTAGTAGTGGCTTCAGTCTTTCTATGTTTTTCTGATGCATACAGCAGTACTGATCCGACTGTGTGTTTTTACTTAGTATCTTCTTTGACTGTTAGTGAGATTCATCATCATCATCATCCTATCACATTATTTGTTCATCACATAGGACTTGGAAGTCTATTCCTTCGATTCTATCCCTGCAGTCTTTTCAGTCTGGATGGAATCCAGTCCAACATATTTGGCCTTTCTCATCAGCTTTCTTCCGTTGTTTCTTCTTCTTTCTTCTTCACATTCACCAGCTGTAAACTCTAAAGTTCTAGCTGTTCGTCCACTTCTGGACTGCAGTCCTGTTCCAGAACCTGAGTGTTGGATGTGCATCCATTTGACAGATCTGACTAATTTGTATGCAGACTGTTGGTTCCTTGCCTCTCAGGCAGAGGCCCTCCGACTTCAGAGGAAGCTCCAAATTAGCAGCCGACTCTCACGACATACTTTTGGGTAGGCAGTGGGTCTATTCTTTTTTTTTCCCCTGTAATAAGGTCCCGGAACCCACAAGGGACTCTTCCGGGTTTCTCTTGGGCGTCCTCTTTACTTCAGTCTGTTTCTGAGCTCAGTCTCAATAGTTTGTTTCTGAGCTCAGTCTCAATAGTTTGTTTCTGAGCTCAGTCTCAATAGTTTGTTTCTGAGCTCAGTCTCAATAGTTTGTTTCTGAGCTCAGTCTCATTGCTTATTGTTAATTTAGTGTTTTAATTGTGTTTCTTACAGGCTGCCAAGCTTCTCATTGCCAAGTGCTATTGATGTGCTCACAACAGGAACCTATCCTCGACTTCCCGCCTGCATCAGGGTTAGTGAACCTATAACTAATAATAAGTTTATCAGTTTACCGTTGATTGTCACTAGTGGAAACATTTAATTTCCAATAACCTTGAACTTTTGTAGATTCTTTTATTGTCTGTTAGTGTATTAGTTTGTGTCAAATGCTGAAATTAAAGCATCTAGGCATATGGATAACAAATAGAAGATGAGATTTAAAAAATAAAACATAACAAGACAAAGGAAACAACTGCATTTTATTGAACACAGCATCTTGTGCAACACCTATTTTTTTTTAAAAGATTAAACACCCCCCCCGACAAAAATGTGTGCATGTCCCCCCAAAAATTGGTGCATGCTACATACCGTCAAGATTTAGAATATGGCAGTAATGTGTGGAGTGAGGTCCCAGAGAAATGACTGCATCGAAAAAGTACTGACAATTTCTTGGACAGTCAAAATTAATAATCTAAGTGCTTTGAAAACTGCCGAGGCGTAAAATTAAGAAGAGACTGTCATTATTTTTTTACTATATCTAAAGGCAGAAATGTTTAAGGAAGATGAATTTGACAGAAATGTTTGTCAAAATCACATGTACTGGACCCTAAAATTGAACAAGGGGGCTGTGTGGTCTCGAGGCATGGTGTCCGCCTCGTATGTTAGAGGGTCCGGGTTTAATCCCCGGTAAGGGCTGGGATTTTTTCGCGTGGACCTGGACTTTAGTCATTCCCCGTGAGATCAGATGCCGTGTGCATTATTGCGCACGTAAAAAATCCTTTAGCAGCTGGAAATCGAAAAGAGTAGCGTAACGGCTAAAAATCTATCCAAAGTATTTCAGGATCCTGGCTGCTGCTACAAAACCTGTGCCTGCACTGTGCTGAGCTTTTTCGGACTCACACTTGAGTTAGAAAAAGAACGGAGCACTTATGGGTTACACCGATATGGTGTTGATCCGTTGTTCATAACCTCAAACTGGGAACAAGCCAATCAACGTCAGCCGTTTGATAAATGATGCTGAATATGTCAGATCTGATCAACTGGAAACTCTCACTTCACATTTGCTTTCATGTTTTGTTTTTGCTTTGTTCTCACAGGAAAGAATTATCCCCCCTGATCCAATCACACCACAGGAGAAAGCTCAGACTTTGCAAAGACTTAATGAGGTCATTCAGTACCGGCTTGTTTCAAATGAACTGCCTAAACAAATGAGGAGATTGAAAATAGGTAGCTCTTCTATTTCTTATCATTTTGATTGATTGATATTTTACCCCACCAGGAAATCACACCAGGCAATAAACACCTGGTGACACAAAGTGCCACCATTCAGATGAAGATCACCCAGGGACAGATCCCAAAAACCCTGATCAACCCATAGGTTTGGTTATATTAGAGCTCCCGGCAACAGCCAGGGTGGACTTCAAATAACAAAAAAATTGCGTAAACATGGGAACGAACAGCCAATGTTTTTTATCATTTTATTTGTGTTTCTGTGTTTGCCATTACGGAATGCTCGATGCAGTTTCATATCCATATTTTCCATAATAGTGGGTAATTCAGAATTGATGATTCCGTTTTTAAAAAAGCAGTTTGTGTCAACACAGAAACTAATTTGTTTGAGGTACATTTAACATTATAATCTTTACTACATCATAACTTCAATCAATATGTGTTTTCCGATGGTCTTAGGCTTACCCTTGTAATTCTTCTTCTGCCTTTCTAACCCAAATATGTCCACAACCAACTCACGCCATGTCATTCTATCCTTCGCTGTCGCATACAGCTGTCACCATGTCCTTCTCATCTTGTTAACGTCACTCTCTAGCTCCCTTTTCCATGTATTTTTTTGTCTTCTTTTATTTCTGTGCCCCTGTAAGTTCCAACAAAGACATTCTAGTTATATTGTTTTCAGGTTTTCTCAGCTTTTGTCCTATCCAACCTCAGCATCTTTTCTTCACCTCTTGGTCCACTGGAACTTGTTTAGTTCTCTCCCAAAGATCTACATCAGTGATTCTATCACACCATTTAATTCCCTCTATTCTGCGCAGGTGCCAGTTGATGAATGACTGTAGTTTATTGGTAATTATGATAGCTGAGAATAATTGATGTATTATTAGCATTGTTTTCTTCTTTTGCGTGCACCCTTAAAAGTGCATTATGTTGTGGTTTACAACACTCTTGACTTTCATAATAACGACATTGACAGGTTACAAGACAATGTAGTATTGTCATTTCTAACACATTTTCAAGGTTTTAATTTGAAGCATCCTTATATAATATGACTACAGCTGAATGGTGTTTCTAGGATCTGCTCCCGTTAAATTCACATTAAAAAATTGACGACTTTGTGAGTTTTAAGACTTTCAATCAGAAATGCTGGAAAGGGGGGGGGGGGGTTAAATTAGTCATAACAGATATGTTTTTTGTTTTTGAGGACATTTGTTTGGCTGTAGAGCCCAGAAATATGAAAATTATAAGTTATTTCTAATGTGTCTTAGCTAACAAATGATAATCAGTCTTTCCTTTGTCTATGATCAGATATGATAATTATAATGTATTTTCCCCCCGTTTCTTAGATCAAGGAAGGGTAAAGTTTTTTGTGGAGCATGAGTTTGAGGTTAGTGCAGTTTCTGTCAGTTTCCAGATTGTTTGTTCCCTCAGTGTCAGAAAAACATGTCTGTTAGTTACCATGATCAAGAAGAAAAAGTCCATTGAAAGTGCTGGTGTCTAAAAAGATGTTTTAAATTGATATTGCTTTGCAAAAATCACAGCACAGAAGATGGGAAAAACAAAAGAGAGGGGTGCTAATATCAAGCATGATCATGAAGATAAACACTGCTTCCAGAGCACTCACATGGGCAGTATAAGAAGCAGCCACATATGCAGTCATTGGATTAGACCCTCTTATTGAACATCCTCTAGAAGATTACAATAGGAAGTCAGTAATGTGAATGTGTGAAAAGCATTGGAAATTCACAGTTAACTTCTGTCACCTGGATCTACACACCTGGGCATACAGGGGTGGAAGATAATGAACAAGCTGACCAGCAGGTAAGTAATGCTCCAGTGCACGCGGGAAGAAGCTTAGACAGAGCTGTATGAACTAGGCTCGAGAACAGGGATGAATCTCTGACACATTTACATGATTGCATGCCCTGGGAATGAAAGCTTGGTGGAGCACGTCTATGCCGCATTCAAGGCAAAAAAAAGGAAGACACTAAAATCAACTTCTCACGAGAGCAATCAGTAGAGGTATGAGTTCTTTATTTATATTCTACCCCAGATGACTTCATAGGACAGTCCAACATTTTAGAGGGTGGTAAGACTGTGTTTCCCTGTTTACTGATGCTTTTAACGACGCCAAAACATTTAGAACTGGCCCTAACCCCAACCCACCTACGTCCCATGAGAGAGTACAGCCTAGGTCCCACAACTGCATGCAGCCTATCTACCAACCCCTGAAATATTAGATTGTCCCCCGGCCTGTGGATTTCACCTGTTTGGGGTAGGATATTAATAAATCACCGAGGTATCCTGGAGTGCCTGCTGGATTAGAGAATTGAGCATGCAGGTGAATCCCCAGTGATGTTGATTGTGAAAACGTCACCTGTTTGCACCAGGTTTTATCCCACATGACTTGGCAGCCCTCCCTAAAGAATGACTGTCCAGCTTGAGCATGAAGCTGCATAGCTCCAATAATTGACTCCAGTATTTGAGAAATATGAACCAAAGGATGAGGTCTGAACTCAAACCTGCAACCTCCAGGCAAAATGGCTTAACCATTTTGTAATGAGGATTTGGTATCAGGCTGATTCAGTAACTAAGTAAAAAGTAAAAAGGCCTTCATTATGTCAGCACCGTACAAGGCATTTAGGGCTAACTCATATTTTTTTTATAGACCAAACAGCACTGGCTGGTTGATGTGGCCATCATCACACTGGCTGTGCTTTACTTCCCAGGATAAAACTTGGTCTAATGTTTAGGCTGGGTCCACATGAGAGACAAGGGTTATAATTCAGGAAACATTGAAATTCCCAGTTATGGAAACGTCGTTATCCTTTCTCAGGGCAACATGGCTACCTTCCAAAAACAGCTCAAACCCAGACCAAGCAGAGACCAAAATAGCATATGGCGCAGCAGAAGAATGTGAAACTAGATGTGACCCCATGTTGCAAGAAAAGACTAATTCAAGAAACAAAGGACTTAAATATAACCAAGCCCTTGCAGCAGATTGAACGAGTCCAAATTTTTTTATATTTTTGTCTCATTCTAATTTAGTCATTTCCAGTTATTTAAAGATTTTTATTTATCAGTAGCCTTTGCATTGGATGATGACTATCAATGCTAGTTACATTTGACTCAGACTTCAACAGACTAGCAATAGACCATGGTGGCAATACAAAATAATATTTTGTCATTTGTTTTCCAAATAAATAAAACCTTATTAACACACAGTCACTTAAGAAGAACACTCAGTTAACAGGAACAAAATGTTGGTCCCAGCAGGAATGTATTTTTGTTATTAGTCCACACGTACCACACATTTTTAAAACTTAGAATGGATTTGCGGTCTCTTTGGATTCGTGTTAGCCATGTTCCACTGTTCTTGCAGTGTAACTGAAATGTCGCTGGTCACACATATTTATGTGATGGTGTGTAAATGTTAACACCACCCCCCCCCCCCCCCTTTCCGCAAACATACACATTAAATATATTATAAGGAGGATCTCCGTGGGGAAGTGGTCAAGCGGTTTGCCTCTCGCTCTGAAGGTCGTCTGTTTGTTTTATGGCTGGGCCGTTCACTTCACGGGTGCAGTTTTTACGGAGATACCCAGGAATTGTCGACTAAGCTACGGTGTTTGTGCTCTGTGCGGTACTATCGGCAGGTTGGTAGCTGTTCTGCAGAGAGGCCTAGTTATATGGAATAAAACTTGGTGCAGTGAAATTGATCCCATCGACTTTTTCTGTAGATGTGTAAAGTGAAGGGTCATTTTCACGTCAATGGTGATGCCAGATTATATTTTTTTATAGACAAGTCGGCACATTATATGTGATGTGATTATCATCCTGCTGGGCACTTTACCTTCCATGACCTGTTTCAGGCAGGGTAAACCTGGGAGCCAAGAATTTTTTTTTAAAATACTCGACATGGGTTTGAACTCATGACCTTCTTGAAGATATGTTACCATGGCTGCCTGATGTGCAGATGTTTCTTGATTTATTTCCAAATTGTTGTTTATGTTAATTTATAAGTTGTACTCAGCATTCCAATTTGTGTTTTACTTTCTGCCAGGTAACGCTGACATTGATGGGAGACAGTCCCACAATCCCATGGCGTCTGTTGGATGTCAGTTTTCTTGTGGAAGATCATGAAACAGGAAGTTAGTTGCACATTTGTTGTTAAGAATGTTTTCTTTCTTTTAATTTGGGGGGGGGGGGGGGGGTTAAACCCAGTGCAGGGAAGTTGAAAATTTAACCTTTCAGGTGGTTTTTGCACTTCAGAGTGTTTATTTAATGAGCCTGAATGTGAATATATATTTTTTTTTTTTTTATATATTTCATTACTTTACAATTCAATGTTTATCATATGTTTCAGTAACAACAACAAAATTAAATCTGCTATCTGGCTTATGATCTGAACTGGGGCTTATATTTGCGATAGGGCCTATACTTATATTATGAGCATCCTTGAAAGTCATGCTAGGGTCCGTTTTTCAAGTAAGGTCTTATTTTTGGGTGAACACAGTATCTCCATGGTGATGCCAGCACACTCCTAATTGACCAGTTTTTATAACTTGTGTGTTAGCTACTAGATATTTCATTGACAGTAAGCCCTTGCCCAATGTCCAGGAAGAATGTTTAGGTTAAAAATGCACACAGTTAATCATTTATTCCCAGTGTGAATTCCTGGGCCCCATCTTGGAGAGAGAAAAAAAAATATAGACACACTGCCCCTTAACAAATCTGTCAAATTCAGGGCTCAGATCAGCCCTTGAATCCTAGAAAAACCATGTAATGATAACTTGGGCCTTCATAGCCTTGAAAAACCCTGAATTTAAATTTAAAAAAAGTAGTCCAGAGAGGTCCTTGAAATTTGACCACTGTAATTAGAAATCAAAAGTGAAACAGAAGTCTGTGTATGTCAGTCAGTCATTGCTACATCTAAAAAAAAAACCTACTGGCTTACTGAAACAGTTCCCCACTTCCTCAGCTCAACTGTAGTGCATGAATTAAACACCGCTTATGCCCAGCACAACCCTGCATAGTTTTAAAGTATCTTGGAAATTGTTAGTGAATTTGGCTACCCATTGAATTTTTGTACCCACTGCTTTAAAAAAATAGAATATTACATGGTGATTCCCCAGTCTGCCCGGGCTCTCTAGCGTAGTTGGCTAAACCGGATTGCGCGGAGACCAGGTGACGAACTCCTTGTGGTCTGGGTTCAATCCCGCGGGTAGGCAGGAAAGCCACATTTTTTCCCAGATTTACGGTATTTACAATGGAATCAAGGCCGAAGGGTTGCGATATCCATAATACCGAGCCTAAGGGTTAACAACTTATGGCTTCTGGATACTAAAACAAACAAACGATACCCCAGTCTTTTCTATGATGTGACTGTCATAACACTGTCAGAAAGCTACAAGAAGGATCTATTAAAAATATTTCTCCCTGTGTGGGTTCGGGGGCACTATTTTAGGGAAAACAAGAATAGATTTACTGCCTACCCAAAAGCATGTTGTAAGAATCGACTAATTGGGAGCTTTCTTTGAAGTTGGAGTGCATCTGCCTGAGAGGCAAGGAACCAACAGTCTGCATACAAATTAGTCAGATCTGTCAAATGGATGCACATTCAGCAAGCAATCAGGTTCTGGAACAGGACTGCAGTCCAGAAGTGGAAGAACAACCAGAACTATCTGCCAGCTGGTGAACGTGAAGAAGAAGACATTTTTTTTAAACTGTCCACTGTGAAAGTAACTTGAGGACTTTGAAGCCGCTTGATGAGCATGTTTTAAAAAATGACTGATAAGGGTTTACTGAAATCAGATGTGTTGGGCTGAAAGGAGTGATTATAAAGTATAAAAATATTAACACTTCAGACCTGGTCAAATCCACAAACTTTAAGACTGACAATTCATCCCCTGTCATCCAAAAATAATAGATTCTAGACTACTTGACGTCCTAAGCTGGCTGGCTTGAAACTCTTCACACATTTCGATGAACATGTGAAACTAGAGATCGGAACAGTGATTATATCCTTTTTCCTATTTTTGCAAGTTTTCCAATAAATAAGCTGAATAATAATTTTATAAATTGTATACATTAGTTGTGTGTTCGCAACTTTAATTATGGATTTATTTTGACATGTACGTAGTCTGAAATTGTTGTTGTTTTATTTTCAGATGGCAAATCTTTGGTGCATTCAATGCAGGTATAGTGAATTTACATATTTTAAAAAAAAATGACTAGATACATAATCAAGGTTTAGGGCAAGTGTGAAAGTTCTAAACGTGGCATTCAATGTTTTAATTCCACCTGTGAATGTGTTGGGGTGAGCTTAAGATCATTGCATAAATAGTATAATGTTGGATAAGTAAGAGAGATGACTGAGCAGAGTATATAACATTTGGATTGTGTCACAAATGCATGCTTGTGGTGAGCAGATAATGGCCGAAGAGAGTATATGAAGAGGTGAATGGGGCCATTTTGAATACTGCTGCTGCCATTGTTTTATCTAGCAGTAATCCACTAATTTTGGTATAGTCCATCTGATGTGTAAACACCTAGGAGCCTGAATATTTTGTTGTTGTTGTTGCTGTGGTGCTCCGGCATGGTTAAATATCGGGTTAAAAAAAAAGTAATTTCATGTTGTAGTAAAATGGAAAGTCACTTTTGTGGCATTTGATGATTAAAAGATTTTCTTATTTTTGTGTGCTTAGATGTCATAATAATGACTAGGTGCATCTGTGGTATAGCGGCTAGACGCTTGTCTGTGGATCAGAAGGTTTTGGGTTCGGGTCCTGACGGAGCCAGGCTTTTTTTTAAAAATGTCTTCTTCTCCAAGGTTGACCCAGCCTTGAGTGGGTACCAGGTACAGTCCTGGGACGTAATGGCGGCTGGGGTGAGGCTAACACCATTACCACCGAAGTGCCGATTGGTCTATAAAATATAGGTCTAGCCCTATATGCCCAGTACACTTGAAGGCATAAAAAAAGATCCTTTACTTTTCGTTTACATAATGACTTAGACCTAAGCCTGAATGTACTGACACACTCTAAAAACTGAGACTTCCAAATGTTTCAAAAATATTTTTTTTAGAAACAACTATGAAACCTGAGGCTTCGTAATGTTCTGTAAAATAGTTTTTTGCCGCTGTGAAAAATTTGCTATGAGGTTTTGCTGTGTTTCAGGTCCATTACATCCATGAGCTGGCACAGTCAAGGTTGCTGCATGTTGATCACCCTCTGCATGATCTGTATAAAGTGTTGCGTATCCTTTTGTTGAAATACAATTTCATCTCTGCCTTTTCATTCTGTTAAGTAAATATATTTAAGGAATCATTTTTATATTTCCCCAGGCAAGTAAATAATGACACTGCTTGCATTCAGTTGATTAAAAGGCATTTAGAGATGAGAGGGCTGACCTTGTTGCATTGGGTTTCATCCCACATAGCTCAGTCTCTCTGCAGAACAGTTGGTTACCCACAGAAAGCATGAACTCTGGAGCCCTGATGATGACTTCTCAAAACAGCTGCACTCACGAACCAAATAACAGAGTCTGAAATCACTTTCATGACCTTCCTCAGAGCCTGGGGAACCACTTTGCCCTAGAGAGTCATGTTGTATTTCTCAATCTGGCAGACATAAAAAAAAAGATGAGAATATTTAGTGGTAAACTGTATACATTAGGGAAACTAACTTTATTAGAACATTTATAGATACCATGAAGTATGAAATCATAGATCTTAAAGTACTTTTAATAAAGGTAAAGTAAAGGACCCTTTGCCACACCTTCAGGCTTATTGTGCATTTAGAGCTAGACCTATATTTTATAGACCATTCGGCAGTTGGTGGGTGATATCATCAGCATCATGTTGGCCGCCTTTACTTACCAGGACTATACCTCGTAGCCATGCAAAGCTGTGTCAAGGTCATTTTTGGAAAGATTCAGGACCCGAATCCATGACTTCCAATCCGCAGGCGAGCATCTAGCAGCTACACCAAGGCAGCCCCTTTAAAGTACATAATATCCTGCTTGAATTGATTGATACATTTTTCCTTAACACATTTGAAGATTCCTTCTGTCAGTCTCTACAGCTTGAGGTTCTTCATTCCCAGGTAAGCTCCCAGTTGGTGTATTGTTTCATCTACCCTGAGCAGTCTGTATTGGTGGTGGACCTACTTGCCTGAAGTCACTTTTTAAAAGGCATGAATTCGGTTAAGAACTGCCATCACAGTACTCAGGGCATTTCTGCAAGCACTCAGTTCCGATCATCAGCAGCCAGTACCAGTGGTGTCAGCTGCAGTCTCATAGTATGTCCATCTTGCCTTTCTTCTCATGAAATTTTGAGTAGATTTGCTGGTCACTCCCTGTTGCATGAATTTTGTGGCGAATGTTGGTAGTAAAGATTACTTTGTTTCATTCTGTCATTTTGATGATGCTCATGAAATCTTCAAGATGAATGCATTGCTTTAAGTTCTGAATTCCAGTACATATTTTAAGTGGCATATTTGTATTAGTGATAAACAAACGAACTGAGGAGCTGATAATGTCCGAGAGAAATCCTAACAGAAACTGTGTTGAGAGCAGGGTTCATAGCCAACCAGGAACCTGAAATTTTACCTGGAAATTGAGGTCATGACCGGGAGCCTGGATTTTGACCTTATGTACCTGGAATTTTGCCTGCCGCGGTGGGGTAATTTGAAGTTAAACTATTGCCGGAAGACCGGGTTTTTGGGCAGTTAAGGCTATTTTTGGCCATTTGGTTACATTTATTTTAAATGTTTACGATCATTTCTGGTAAACATTGAGCGGGCAATCGATCGATCATCACTTCATTGTTCTCATAGTTTGCTTTGTGCCATGTCGTGTGGCGGGACTTTGTCATGAGTTTAAATATAGTACTAGTACTACAGCCTGCATCTACAACAATGCCTGGATAGGGGCAATCGATGGATCATCTGTTTATTGTTTGGTTTGAGGGGTGAGGAGGGTATACTTCAGAGGAACAACTATGTTGTAAGAAATGGATCAAATGACACCCCTCCAATACAGCTAGTATGAAATCGGATGTATTAAACCAAAAGGCACTGATGACACTACCTAGCTATATACCTCAACAAAATTTATCGACCCTCCATTGAATGTAAAGTTAGTTGCGTGTACTATAGGAAATTGCAGAAATACCACTGTTGAAACCATCACAAAAGGCCTGCTGCTGAATCCCATGTGGCAGGTAGCGACCCCGGCATTACGAAGCGTGCTCGCGGTGCCTAAGCTACAAAAGGCCGACACCATGAACATTAAACGTAGAAAAAACATATTGTTTATAATACAATCATCAGTAATCATACTAGGCATGTATTTTTCTGGTGACAAGGCTAACTTGGTTTGACATGTCTTATCTTGAGACAGTTGACATTAATGTATTGTTTCTGGCAATTTATGTTTCTTATCACAGGCACAGAGGTTAATGAGTGACAGGTTGCGGGACAGTATTCGAATTGAGGAGTATTCACTCAGCAAATCTCTGTCAATCTCTTACTGGAGGTAACCTACCATTTCTGTTGTGTACCTGTTCATTATTAATGCAGATTCTTTAAATAGTACAACAGTTTAAAATGCCCCCCCATTTGAGTTTTATGGCCTCATTTAATCGGGGGGGGGGGGGGGGGGGGGTTTACTACATAATAGTTTTATGTATTACTACATAATAGAATTATGTATTACTACATAATAGTATTATGTATTACTACATAATTTTACATTCATAAGCTTACAATGTGCCAACTCTTCTTTTCTGGGCAAATACAGAAGGAGAAGAAAAATATATGCAGTTTCCCTTTGTTTTATTTCCTAGGTAATAATTAATGGGATAAATCTGGAAACAGCAGTCGTGTGGTAGCTAGCGTGTTTACTTCCAGCCAAGTGTTCATAGGTTTAGATTTCCATTGAGGCATGTATTTAACCTTTTCGATTAAGAAGCTGCAAAACCGACAATTCCGGTTGGGTCCAATTCCCCATTGAAGTAATTTTTTTGGCTTGTCCCTAGTGACCTGTTTGCCTACTTTTTTCACCCGCACAAATGTTCCTGAAGTCAGAATATGAATATGCTAACTAAAAATAATTCAGGACAGTACTTCATGGACAGAGGATTGAAAATAGGTCTGTTATATTTTGCACATACTACTACTGCTTTTTCTGCCTCTTTTGTATTCTTTGATTGGATAATAGACCGCCGGTCAGCTCGTGCCACATTGTACTATCTTTTAATACCTTCTGCAGCTCCCTCCATATCCTCCCTGAAATTTTCATCTATGCCTCTAAATGTCTTCTCTGTTTTTTTTTAATGGCTTTCTCAGTCTTTTATGCAACATCGCTGGCCCCTGCTCACAACAGTGAATAACACACAACACAGAAAGCTTTGCGAAGACAATAAAACATGACAAAACTGTAACAAGTCTGTGTGACAGGTGAGCAAGCATGAATGAAAGGTCAGCCTGTGTATATTTGGGCTGGAAAACGTATTAAGAACAAATCTACGTTACTTACTCCATAAGCTTGCATTGGGTTCCAATCTGCATAGAGGCAGATTTTCTTAAGTGACTTACGACAACCAGTTCAACCCAGCCTTAAATTGGTACCCCAGAATGTCATGTGTAGTACAGATATCTGGCATGATCAAATCACCCCTCATTTGTTGGTTCATAAAATGTATGGGTCTCACATTATGGGTCCAATCCACCACTGACTTGGAAAGGATCCTTTATTTAATTTGTAATAATCATCATGGCCTGTTTTCATCAGACAGGGCACAACAGAGAGCAGTGTTATACAAATACAGTGGTAACAGACCCAGAGGTCGACCATGCAGAAGATGAACCACAGAAATATCAGAAACACTGAAAAGTACTAAATGTGAAGCAAACAGAAGGACATGTTCCAGAGATCTACTCCTTCTCTGACACTGTAAGGCACTCTAGGAGAAAAGGGAAGAAGTAATACTTTTTAGGGCCACATGGTTAGTGCAGCGGCCATGAACTGTGCAGGTTAAAATGTACAATTTTACCCCTGCAGAAGACAATTCCACCTTACCGAGGATTTAAACCCAGGTCTCCTGCATGATAGAGAAGCATTTTAACAGCTTGGCCAGCTCCCCACCTTTCATTATAATGTCATTCTATTATTTTGGCAGTTTTCTAGTATGTTAATGGTGTACATGTTTTTACCGGAAATAGAGACCAGATGAAGAAAGACAAGAATCAAGACAGTTACACATGTGAGTTTTCTGTACTGTTTTTTTTTTTTTTTTTATTGCTTATTTTTGTGTTAATTTGATATTTGATTCATTATTTACTCATGTTTGCAAGAAAACCATTGAATATAACGATGAACTGAATATTTTGTTTGTTTATCAAGAAAAAGCTTTTGGTGGAATAGACAAGAAACAAACTATGGGCTATTATTGAGGATTATGGGATACAGGGATAATTGTTGGATCACATCACAGCATGTACCACACATCCCAAAGCCCAATGAGAACACATGTAAGGTCTACCCAGAAAATCATGAAGATTATTCACATTCTACAGCTTAGATACATTACAGGTCAGTAGAAATCCTAGTGAATGGTACATGTCTGAAGCAAGTTAAAGAATTAAAAATCTTGGAAGTGAGGTTTCGGAGGATGGGGGAACAGATCAGGAAATAGAAACAAGATACCAATGAATCAGTGCACTTGTATACCAGCTGACACCTCATTAAGAAGATCGAACGTAAGTATAGGCGTCAAGAAACGGTTTACAAACAGCACATTCATACCAACACTGCTGCCAGTGCCAGACTTGGACATTATCAAAGGCTAATAACGTATGTCAAATTAACACCTGTGAAATGAGATGCCTGGAAAGAAAAGCTGCCAACTTTACCATTTGAGACAGAAATGATACTCAGATAAACTGGGTATGACACCATGCTACCAATTAGTTGAGAAACAGGATATAATGTTTTGGTCATCTAGTAAGAATGCAGCCAGAATAGCTACCAATGCAGGCACTACACATGAAAAGATTTGATGTGAAAACAAGAGGTCGCCCTTGGAGAAGATAGATCGATATTAAAGAGCTTCTACATCAATGCGGAATGATAGTAGCCATTGCTGTCCATCAAGCAATGGATTGCAAACTGTTCCTCCCCACAACACTTAATGGCAGAAGTTAAAATTGATGATAATTTAATCATGATCTGTTTTAAAACACATTTTTTTAAATATTTTGTTCAGCGTA